ACGCTTATTCCGTCATGCAACGCTGTACTGAAATTAATTTTATACCATTTTTTGGGGACACATAGAGCTTTCTTTTGGTGGTATTTAATCACCACTGGGGTTTTATTTTTTACTATATAGCAAAAAATGTACCGGAAATTTTGAAAAAAAAACCTTTCCCTATTAAATATTATGAAACATTTATTATTACCCCAAATTTTTGGGTAAAATATAAAAGACGGGGTCACGTTGGGTGAATAGACACCAAACATGTCATGCTTTAAAATTGCACACCTGCGAAATCACAAAAAACTACCATACCCAAAATTGGCCATAGGCAACACTTTAAAGACTTTTAGTGCTCATCAGTTTAGTGTTATCAGTGATTGATGGGACTAAAATTATTGCTCATGCTCTGACGTTCGCAGGGATATGTAACACCCGATGCATGTTTGCGTGCAGGGGACTTCAAAAAAATGTGGGTGTTTAAAAAAATTTTTTTTTTATATGTGGCTTAACTTTTTTTTCACTTAACTTTATTGATATCACATAGGGGGATAACAATCCCCCTATGTGATAGCCAATATACAGTGGCCGGTCCTCTTTATGGAGACATCAGGGGTCCCCAAGACCCCTGTCACCTAGGGACCACCAGAGAAGCTGATGAAGCACAGATCTGCTTCACCAGCTTCTCTCCGGTTTCTGTAGCCAGGGAATGACAGCCGAATGTGGAAGTGATGTAATTTATATCACTTCCTGCATTCAGAGAACAGAGGGAGATTGTGTGCTGACCTCATGCCACAAAGCCGCTGTGCTGGTTCCCGGGCTCGCACCGGTTACAGTGGAGCTCGGGATCTGCCGTGGCAGGGTGGGGGGTGAACACAAACGATCAGGCATCTCTACAGACGCCGGAGCGCTTGTATGTAAAGAGCCATCGCTGGCTGTTTACAATTCAAGCAGATTTCCCGCTCGTGCGCGCAGGGAAAGGAGTTTTGTTGTAATTATAGGACAAATGTTCTTACCCCAGTCTAAATGTGCATTTACTATGAAAAAGAAATTGAGATGAAATGCAACACAAATACATTTGATTACTATTCACCACAGAACTGATTTTAGCAATGAGTGCAAATTAAGAATTCTAATTCTAAATAAAGAGAAAAAAAACTTATTTGAGGGCCGTCATCAAGCTGGATTGCTCAGGGCTAAAATTCAGAAAACAAATAAAAAATAAACTATAACCAGTTCAGACTTTAAAGTAAACCTAACCTGACCTAAGTAATGATAAGGCATCTTGTGGTGCCTGTAAGAACTTGTATTAGTCTTAAAACTGATCCCCATACTATCCCTCACATCCCTGGCTCAGAGGCCCTGCACACTTTCGAAGTAGATGTAACCCCTAAATGAAGGTTTAGTTTACTAGAAAAAGATAAAGCAGTTTTTACATTTTTTTTTCCAATGTTGCATCTCAGTGCTGCTGGCTTCTTGCTGTCTACATGCACTCCAGCGATGGCTGAATGACATTTCTCAGTGCAGGCTTCTTGATGGTGACAACAGTAGACTAGAGCTGCAGCTAACGATTATTTTCAAAATCGATTAGTTAGCCGATTATTAGGTTCGATTAATCGGTTAATCGGATAAACAATAAAATAAAGTTTAAAAAAAGGCTCCAGTGATGGGACTACTAGTTTGTATTGAGGTTGTAGTCCATCACAGGAGCAAGCTTGGAGCGGTGGAAGTAAAAAAGAAAGATAGTGTGGTGTGCAATATAGTGAAATGGAAAGTGTAAAATTATACAGCAATGAATGCAGAATACCACCAGCTATAGAGGAATACAACAAATCCCAGCAATAGTACATAATAGCTGGAGGCATTCTGCATTGCGCTGTATAATGTACTATTGCTGGTGGTATTCAGCATTGCACCACTGTATAATGTATTATTGCTGGGATTTGTAGTCCGCTATACAGCGCAATGCAGAATATCACCAGCTATAGAAGAGTACAACAAATCCCAGCAATACATTATACATACAGTGTATAATGTATTGCTGGGATTTGTATTCCTCTGTATAATATACAGCACAATGTACCATCAGCTATAGAGGAATACAAATCCCAGCAATACATTATAGAGCACCATGTGTGGGAAAGTGCAGGCTTACCTGAGCAGTCTTCCAGCAACTTGCTTCTGAGATCGGGCCTGTCTATCGGCGGCTGTCATCCCCCCACACCTGCTCCTCCTTACTACATCTCCCCGCGTCCCTGTGCCGATCGTGGATGTGGGCGGGCGGTGAGTGTGAGGCGGGGAGGAGGTGCGGCGTGAAGAGCGTGGATGCGGGCGGGTCTGGCAGCGGCGAGCGTGAGGTGGGGAGGAGGTGCGGCGCACAGCGTGTGGAGCTGTGAACAGGGCCAACTGATCGGAAGCCGATTAATCGATTATTGAAAAAGTTGACAACTTTTTCAATAATCGATTATAATCGATTATGTCGATTAGTTGTTGCTGCCCTACAGTAGACTACACCTGTGTAAAATGTGCTTGTGGGAAAGGGGAAGCAAAATTGGGAGACAGTTGCAACCTACAAGAGGAAGTGCCTAAACACTCAGTATTAGTGTAATGAAGGCTTTACATTTAAAACTTAAAGGTGTGAATGGAGCCTTATTGTGTGTATATTAGTGTGTGTATTTCTAGGTGTGTGTATTTCTGTTGGTCCTCTATGATTAAAATTAAAACATGTAGGAGAAAAAAGAAAAACACACATACAGTATACATAGTGATATGATGCGCACACACAGAAACATTAACACACATACTGACATCCGTCACAGAAATGCTGCAAATACACAAACCATTATGAAAAAAAATATATATATACTGAATTGCATAGAAAGAAACCATCACATATACATACTGACAACAGACACACACACAGACAGTAACACTGGTACTGTATATACAGGTGAAACTCGAATAATTAGAATATCGTGCAAAGTTCATTTATTTCACTAATGCAACTTAAAAGGTGAAACTAATATATGAGATAGACTCATTACATGCAAAGCAAGATAATTCAAGCCATGATTTGTCATAATTGTGATGATTATGGCTTACAGCTCATGAAAACCCCAAGAACCCCAAATCCACAACCTCAAAAAAGTAGATTATTACATGCAATCAATAAAAGAAGGATTGTACATAGAACAATATCGGACCTCTGAAAAGTACAAGCATGCATATGTACTCAGTACTTGGTTTGGGCCCCTTTTGCAGCACTTACTGCAATTACTTTTGCATGATATTCTAATTATTCGAGTTTCACCTGTATAGTTACATTTTATTTTGAAGTATGAAATTTGACAAGCAGCCTCAGTGGGAGAAAAAAAATGTGTCCAGTGGCCCCCGAGTGAATCGAGTTTAAGACCCCTGCTTAAAAGACTGCACAAGAGACCCTGTTGTCAGCCTATTCATTATAACAATCTTCCCATAAGATGGCATGTGCATATAATGTATTTCATTCATGTTATTTACCTGTAAATGTCTATCTTTTGTAGACCTCTAAAAGTTCTGAGACCGCTGTTAGGCACCCCCATCTTGGATGTGATGTCAGTAGCACCAGCAGACTCAGAGGTGTCTCACAAGTAACACAGTATAATATTCCCTTCTCTTCTACCCCAGCTGCTACAGAAAATGCTATGTAGGGAGCTGAGGGCTGAGGAGCTGGGCCAGCATAGACAGAAATGTAACACTCCAAGGATAGTAAAGGGCAAGGAGGGAGGGAGTTGCAATAGAGAACTGATACTTTACGGAGTTTTAATTTCAGCTCTCACCTCTGCACCCATAATGAGGACAGGCCGTTTATGTCCTCACATACAATAAAACAGAATAGAATGGAACACCCCCGCGCTGTATATGCCAATGTTGGGGAAGGAATGTAGATGGCTGCACAAATAGTTAAAAAGGAGTGCCTGTGTAGGGCCTGTTGTATGGTAGGGAGGCCTGCTGGCGTGAGGCATAAGGCAAGTATTTCTCTGCTAGATTAAAGCAGAACTCCAGAGAAAATGATTAAACCCTTGCAATGGGGTTACCCCATACACTACAAGGGTTAACTGCCCCTTCTGGTCTAATGCTGAAAATAAGAAGGCTGTGACAGCGCTCCATGCAGCAATGGAATGTCCTTCAGAGTTCTCACATCCTATATGCTGTTTATATGACCTGATGATCTACGGGACCTTAGACCGCTGCCCAGGGGGATGGGGACGGGTGGAATGGGAGAGGATCCAGGGGCTGGTCTAATAGCAAGCTGGCTCAGAGGATCAGGAGAGTATAATTTTGTTTTCTTTCCTTCCTAGACACAAACAAGCACGTATCCCTTGCAGTGTGGGGTAGACCCACTGCAAGGGTTAATAATAATTTCCACACCGAGTTCTTCCTTAAAGTAATTAAGCACTGGAGTCCCCGGTTTAAATCCTGGAACTATCTGCATGGTGTTGATGCTGTGCATTGCTTGCAGTGGATTTCCTCATACAATCCAAAGACATGCTGGTTGGATAATTGGTTCCGGTCTCAGGAGGTCCTAGTGTGTGCGTGATAGGAACCTTAGATTGTAAGCTTCTTGACGCAGGAAACTGATGTAAAAGTACAATATGTAAAAGCACTTCTTAAATTGTTGCCACTATACAATTACCTGTAATAAATATACCTTGCAGTTGGAAAGGGATGTAGCACATACTTCTATTTTTTGGGGGGCTGACTGGAAGATTTAATGACATCAGCCAGGGAGGGAAAGCTCTGCAAAATGTATACTATAAACATTTCAACAAAATCAGATAGCAATGAGGAAACATTTCATAAAAGAGCAGCAAAGGCATCTTGGGTATATATGTAAGGATTTATAATTAGCAACAGATGTAATATAAAACATTCAAGCACAAAACCAATGTCCGCTGCACATGGCAGACTATGAACAAGAATAGAAACCATATAAAAGTACTAGATTGATGGAAGCTCAATCTATCCCGACTTATCAAAGTCATTTTCCAAGACAGTACTATTGAATTATTATAGCCAGGTCCCGGGCACTAGCGATGACTGGCATGTGCTCTACATGGCAAGATCAAAGTCATCTCTCTCCTCGTTGTACTCCGCAACATGTTTCTTGATCTTGGAAGAGTCCACCCAGGTGACAAAGTCCTCCATATTCCTGGTGACCAAGTAGGCTGGATCTGTCACCACCTCGGGTCCCACACGGATATGGGCCTGCTCTATGAAGGTGATGGCAGTTTTCAGGTTCTGGGCCATCCTGAGCTTCACCACGATGGAGGGCAGACGCCTCCTGCAGAAAGACGAGGCGGTCACCATGTCACACAGCTGTAGGCCCTGCTTGGTGGGGATGAGGCCCATGGCGTACAGCTTCTCCAGCAGCTTAGAAGTGCACTGGGCCCGGAACGGATCCGTCTCCTCCAGGTCCTTGATCTTATTTACCAGGTCCCGCACATTACGGCTCAGCTTATTGTAGATGGTGTAGTCCTCCCTGCGGTCCAGGTGGTATTTCCTCAATATCTTCACCTCGTGCAGGTTGTTGTCCACCTCCCAGTTGATAAAGTCCACCTTTTTGAGCAGCTTCTGCTCATGGTATTTCAGTTTGCGCACCATTTTTCATATAGAGCCTCACAACACCAATTACACTCCCCACGTGTAACCTCCGTTATAGCAGGCTGTACTTCCGCCACACTTCCCGGCATCCTTTCCTGTCTCCAGCATGGTACGCGATAACCACGCCACACTTCCCAGCATCCTTTGCTGTCTCTAGCATAGTACAGTCTAACCGTGGACGATTTCTGCCACACTTCCCAGCATCCTTTGCTCTCTGCAGCAGGTTACGCTATTACCGCGGAAGACTTCCGCCACACTTCCCGACATCCTTTTCTGTCAGCAGCGTCAACGACAGGGTGGCAGGCCTGTCTCTAATGTTTCCGAGTCAGGAACTAGGTACGTAGCCATTTTGTCGAAGACCTACTTACACTGCTAGCTTAAGCATTTAGTCTAGGTAAAATGGCGCTCATTTTGGAGACAGAAAACGAACGAAGCCCATGATAGCAATAACGTAATGGGAGGCCACTTCCTAGTCGTTCTTTGACCGAACAGATTGAGTTAACCTGTCAGCACTCAGAGGCAGTACACGGCAACGGTGATATGGCGAGTTATCAATACGGACAGGTGAGAGTGGGCTCTAGTTAGAGGGATGGTAATATACACTATGATAGCGTTTGCCCGCGTACAGTGGCTGAGAAGGCTCTGAGTGATGTTTAGTAAGCCCTAGCAACTATTCAGAAGTCTGACAACATTAACGCATATCTGCGACACAAGCTTAATATTTGGTCTGGTTTAAGTACCACCGAGAGTGTTTTGTTAGATCTGTTTGATAAGTTAAAAAAAAAATACATGCCGATCTTGCCAGAAATTTTGTGAGCTGATAACTTCCTGTGTAGGTGGCCTCATACAAAAGGGTGAGTGAGCATTGTCACCCAGGGATAGGAAGTGTGTCACTGGCCAGATCACCAGGTAAAAATAAAGGGGGGGGGGAGCCTGAAAAGAGAAAACGAATGCAGCCACCACATCAGACGACTAATATACACCGATCAGCCATAACATTATGACTACTGAGAGGTGAAATGAATAACATTGATTATCTCGTTACAATGGCACCTGGAAGAGGTGGTATATATTAAGCAGCAAGTGAACATTTTGTCCCTGAAGTTGATGTGTTGGAAGCAGAAAAAATGGCCAAGTGTAAGAATTTGAGTGACTGACAAGGACCAGATTGTGATGACTAGAGGACTTGGTCAGAGCAACTGCAAAACCACAGCTCTTGTGGGGTGTTCCCAGTCTGCAGTGGTTATAACCTGCCAGTAGTGGTCTAAGGAAGGAATACCGGTTAATGTTGGTTTCTAAGAAAGGTGTCTGAACACAAGGTGCATGGCAGTTTGTTGTGTATGGGTCTGCGTAGCGGCAGACCGGTCAGGGTGTCCATGCTGACCTCTGTCCACCGCCAAAAGCGCCTACAATGGGCAAGTAAGTATCAGAACTGGACCACGGAGCAATGGAAGAAGTTTTTTTTCGCATTTTCTTTTACATCATGTGGATGGCTGGGTGTGTGTGTGTGACTTACCTGGGGAAGAGATAGCACAAGGATGCAATATGGGAAGAAGGCAAGCCGGCAGAGGCAGTATGATGTTTTGGGCAATGTTCTGCTGGGAAACCTTGAGTCCTGCCATTCTGGTGGATATCAGTTTGACACGTACCACCTACCTACACTTTGTTGCTGACTAAGTACACCCCCTCATGGAGACCGTATTCCCTGAAGGCACTGGCCTTTTTCAGGACAACTCTTTCTTCTTCTAGTTTTGGATGGAGTGGAGAGGGATTAGAGCTCCTGTCAGGTTTGTATTGCAGTCGGTGTCCCCATTAGGGAGATTCACCTTCTCTATTTGTCTTGGGGAACATTATCACTAAAAGTGAATGAAAATCCCAAATTTCCTCTCTTTGGAGGGATTTCCTCTTACTTCCTGTTGTGGCTATCAGACAAGAAGTGAAGAGAAATCTACCTAATGGGACACAGATGGCAAGTAAAAAGCAGACAGGGGTTATAACTCTCCCTTACTCTCTCCAAAATGGACATTTTTTTTTTTTAGCTTTAGGTCTTCTTTCAGCAAGGCAGTGCAGTAACCACACACATTGTAATTACTGCAGTAAGATGACTGAATAAGGACTCTGCCTGGGTTCTGAGGATTCACGCAATTTGTTTAGCCGACAAAAATCTGTTAGCTGCTAAAAGCTGAAATGAACTCACCGGTGTTGTTTTACAGCATTCCTGCCCTAACCCAGATTGCAACTTGTTTAGTAAATATCTCTGATGTACACAAATAGCCCTACTCAATAACGCTGGACAGGCACCAGTAGAATCTCCTTAGGAAACAAATCATTTTCAGGACAGTTGTTCTATTTTCTAATAGTTAGTGGGGTTATAACGACAATCGTATTCAACCGCAGTGACAACAAAAAATCAAAAGGCGCAGAATGGAACATTTTTCTTGAAGGAATGAAGTTCTAACAGTGAATGTGGGTTTCCTTCGGAGAACTCCATTCATTCCAAAATCAAATGAAATTGTAAACATTCTCCAGGTCTCTGATTGTATTACTCAATGTCCTATTCTTCTCTAAATCCACATGATGCCAGTTGTGGTTGTTACTACGAGCACCACATCATTGACTTTAGTTGCAGCTCTGTATGGAGTGCAGCTGGGATCTGTATCGCTTTATTAAATGTTGCAACACTATTTTTCATTTAAACAGTCATAGGAAAATCTACCAGTGTATGGCCGGTTTAACACTTAAACTAGAATGAAACACCTTCTTTTATTTTTGCATATACAGTATCTATTGCTAGCAAGCAGTAGATATATGCAAAAACATTAAAAAGGTTATTACTTACCTGTGTCTCCGCCGCTCGCTCCCGTCCGAATTCTGAAGATTCTTGGGCAGCCCCAAACAACTATGGGACAGGCGCATGCACAGTTCAGATCTTCGTCCAGGAGAAGAGGAGAGACACAGTGTAAGTCAATGCAGCCAGCTAGGCAGCGTGCACGCTCACAGACACCGTGGGACAGGAAGATACAGCAGTCAGCACTGGAGGGACTGTTGAAAACTAAAGGAAAGAAGATGATGATCGGATCAAGAGGCACCATTTAAGGTAATTTCTTAAAGCTGCATGTGACTTTAATTTCACTTTTAGGTCTCATTCACACGAGAAATGGCCAGCCCATTCAGCTCTGTGCTGTGTGCACGGCCGTATTGGGCAGCTTCCGAGAAGAACAGGTGCTGCGTGTGATTAGTACGCAGCCCCCGTCCTTCTCTATGGGACTACGTGGCCGTACGCCACCCTACGCTCACCCCATGTGCAGGTCCGTGCGGCTGACCCGTCCTTCATGGGAGCTGCCCAATACGGCCATGCACGAAGCTGTGTGAATGAGGCCTAATGATCAGTACAGCCAAAATATAACACAAAATCCTCTATTATAATCTGTTTAACAACAATGCAAGGCAGGTACACAAAAAACTCCACACTCCTCTGAATTTAACCATCTCGGGTCTTTGGCCATTGTGAACAATGAAAGTCTCATTAACAATCCATGTACACTTAAACATAGTGTTAGTTGCACAATACCATGTGATTGGTGCTATAGCACAGTGAACCTAGTGTGCATTATTGTGCACTGGGTGCTTTGCCATTCATGGGAATAGCACCTCGACGCAACTCCCTGCTGCTGTGCACAGTACCACAATACCTTGTGTTGCAATGCAGTGAAGATTCTTTTTTAAACCAATGTACCTGGTAGAATTAGTACAGGAGCATGTTCTCAATGTGAGAGCCGTCTGCAATGTGAGCAATAGTCCTAAGTTCATACTATTACTTTGGATGCCCTGCTTGTCATCTTGATGTAGCATTTGAAGCGCCACATCAATTAAAATAGTCCAGATAAAACTTTATTCAATAAGGGACATTCAAGTAGAGTAGCCAACGCCTTTTGGGGGTCCAAAACACACACTCACTTCATCAGGGCTTAATGAGAGAAATCATGTATTTGGACTACAACATGTACAACTGCAGCTTGAACATTGTGATGGGAATACTAACATGTCAGCTGGTTTGGCAGCCTTGCCTGCTTGTCACCTACACTATGTTACACAAGCAAATTTATGGAAGAGATTTGTAGCTGGCCTCAGAGTTTCTGCTGTAGCTGGCTGCAACTTGCCTATGCAGATACAAATCACTGATGCAATATGATAATCTGAATAGCTCCTGAAGCTGGTATTGATTGTAGTTTGTTCTAGACGAGTGGTTCTCAACCTGTGTAACCTCAGGACCCACATTTAGCCTTGTTCATTAAGTTGCGACCCAAGTCGCACTGCAGTGGAACGCATGGCATTAGAGTACCGCGTGTTACGGTGCGGGCGTACGAACTGGGTGGGAGGTGCATTTGGGGTACCATTCAAATGAATGGCAACGCAACACACCTCCCACACCAGAGTACATGGTAGGTGTGATTCCGTGGTACAGTTTAACGTACTGTACTAATGTGAACGGGCCCCCAAAAACACGAACATACCTACTGTACACACATACACAATCTCACACACTCACAGACATTCTCACACATACACACTCCAATTTTTTTTTTTTTTCAAGGTTCTCTCAGTCTTCCTACCACAGCAGACAAAAAGTTTTCTTTAGCTCTTGGCGCTAATGGCTGCCAGCTGAACAATCCACTTGCTGTTGCACACTCAAAGTTTTCAACAGTTTATCACAGTTTTTTTACACAGACTTGAGAGGCTGCTCATCCAAGGCTCTGGGGCTTCCACCACGAACATAGAAAACAAAAGGGAACAGAGCGCCACCTCCGTGTGTAAAATCGTTTATTACAATAAATAAAACAAGGGATAAATGTACTCGCAAACAAACGTTTTCATCACGCTTTAACAACAAACGAGAGGCCACACTGTCTGTTAACCCAACATGGTATCCCCTGACTATGTAACACGGTAATCTCCGGTCACATCACCGTCCACCGACTGCAGTCAGCCAAGATTGACACGTTTCACATGATTCTGAGGAAGGGGGCTTGCCCCTGAAACGCGGCAATCTTGGCTGACTGTGGACGGCAAGCTGATGCACCGGAGCAAAAACTGCAAGCGAAGGTCCGCACGCCACCGCTTCCCTTTACTCTGTGCTGCTACACGTGCAGTGTGTCCCGGGCTATACTGAGAGCTGTGCAGTCATGTTACTGTTGATCAGTCAGCTCTCATTCTGTTTCAGTGAGCAGTCGCTGTAAGTCACTGCTCTGCAGGCATTCGCCTCTCCGTTCCTCCAGCACTCATTAAAGGGACAGACAGGGAAAGGGGGTGGGCACAGTTGGCTCTGGCTCTAGACAGACAGGATCGTTCCTGGGTGCTGTATGGCTCTGTGCTCTCAGCTGATAGTGGGCAGTAGCCTGCTATGTGCTGACTTTGTGTCACAGGAGTACATGAGTAAATGTACAGTACTCCTGTGACCCAAAACCAAAAAAAGGTTTGACATTACTTTTATTTTAGAGACACGTTTACCTTTTCTCATTAACTAGTTGCTTTGTGGATTATTTCCTGTGAGAAATTACATCAAAGTTGTAATACAATTTGATTGGCTCTGATACATCGCAGTAGACCAGATTTCTTGGAAGCAAAGCGACTCATAATCCTAAGGTTAACCTACCCAGGACCAGGCATGGGAAACACATGCAGTGTATAACTTAAAAACCTAAATTCTGCAGGAATTGGTAGATTTTTTATTTTTTTTAAACTATTAGGAGATGGTTAAGATAGTATACATTTATAGAAAAAGATTTTTAGAAAACCCTTTAAAACCTGTAAGGCTTCTTAGAAAATTGTTTCTGTTTAATGCTTTATTTTTTTTAGAATGACAACTTTATCTACTAAAACTAGAATGAGTTACGGAAGTTTCCTTTTGTGCTTTTATATTTTGTTTAGTTGTGATTTGGTTGACTTCCACCAGGTGGCACTGTTGTATTGAAGATTTGAAGCCTCTTTTTATCACTCTGGCTTACTTTCTTCATTGGTCCGGCTCCTCTCCTTCATATAATAAATGTTGCAGGTGTCAAGAAATGATCTGCAGGTCCTGACACATTTTTAATGTACATTTGTAAAATATTTTGCTTGCAGTGGTAGAGAATTGTCTACATTCAATTTTTTTATTTTTTTTTGGTAATTGGTAGTACCTAGAGTAGACTTGCTCATCTACAAAAAATCAATTTACCTAAGTCTGTACATTTTTTGGTTTTACAGGGATACCATGGTTCGGGAGGACAGGCCCCTGGGGCACCTCAAGGGGGTTATCATCCTGGATCTCAATATGGAGGAGGTCGTCCTGCTGGCCAGCCTGCGTATGGTGGTTCTGCACCAGGTGCACCATATGGACCTCCTCAAGGTGGTGGCTATGGACAGCCTATGCAAGGGGGTGCAGCACCAGGGGGACCAGGAGGTTCTTATGGAAGCCATGCTCCTGGGGGACCTTATGGTGGGCAAGGATCCAATCCTTATGGAGCTCCTCAACAAGGCCAGTATGGACAAGCTGCTCCAGGTAAGTCTGTGGTATTTTTTAGAATCCAGTAGGTTTTGTGTGTAGTATGTACCGTGTTTCCCCGAAAATAAGAGTGTCTTATTTTTTTTTTTGCACGAAATAAGACATTAGGTCTTATTTTCGGGGGATGTCTTACTTTCGGGGAAACACGGTATGTATGCATGCATATAGTTTTGGACAGAGTTGGCAATGGTAATTACTTCTGGCAACTTTAATTGCTGTCTGTTACCCTGCTGGGGATATTACCCCTACTGCCTGTGTGTACGGTTTTCTCCGGGACAGAAAGATAATGGTAGGATTGATATTCTAAAAAAAATGATGACCCTTTTTCAGTTGAATTATTTTGCCTGCAATCTGTGTATTCACTGGGGAGATTTGCATCACTTCTTGTTTTGATGGAAGTTTGGGTGGATCTCCCCAGTGGGGACACAGACTGCAAATCAAAACATGTGAGCGGTCCTATTTCTTCCCCGCTCTGTCTAAAACTTAAAAAGTGTTTTGGTGTTGGGCTTTAAGATACAAGTTTGCTTTTGAATTCTACTTAAACTTTTCTTTTTTTCTTAGGGAATATACCTCAAGGAGTTAACGCAGAGGCTTTCTCCTGGTTCCAGACTGTGGACACTGACAGGAGTGGGTACATAACATTAAAAGAGCTCAAACAAGCACTGGTCAACACCAACTGGTCAGCATTTAATGATGAAACCTGTATCATGATGCTAAGTAAGTATTTATCTTGGTCTATAATTGTTTTTAATTATATCCTGGGTTAATATCTTTTTAGGAAGACGGAGCTGTGTAAGCACATGATCAAATGGAAAAGATGCAGACAACTCATCACAATATATGCTTAATAGCTCATATTAGGCAAATGAAGTTCTACTTTAGAACCCAGCTAACACTCAACATGGTAAATCAGGGGTAGAGAGCCACTGCACTTCAGCTATGGCATTGAAATACTCAGCCACAGACATGACACCTAGAGCCAAGGCATGAGAAGATTTGTAGTTTCACTGTAGCTGGAGTGCCAAGGTTGCCTACCCATTTAGAAAATGTATATTTAAGCTGTTGGAAAGGCTAAACGCAGCAAACAGTCCATTGGCACTGAGAACACTGCTATCCATTTCAAAATGCCAAATTAATACTTTTATTTGTGGTCACATGACCGCAAATCCTCCATGGTATAACCTTTGATGTGCAGGCGGTGGGCGTGTGCTTCAGGAGCACTGAGAGTGGTCATTGGATGTGAACCTTAAAGCACTGACGTTTTACTCAAAGTAAGGATGGTAGGAGCTCATGGGCAAGTTTCGAGTTGTAACTTCCCAATGAACGGGGGGGAGGAAGTGTCTGACGTGCAATTTAATGGCACCTCTAGTTGGCCCTAAACCAGAACTTGCGAACTGACAGGTAAATTGAAAGTATAGTGGGGAGTTTTTGACTGGATTTTTACTTTAAATCAAGATTATTTCTTCATCTCTCCATGCCAGCTTAGTTAGCATACTGTATGCTCATTCTGTATTGCAGCCAGTAGATTTGGGGAAAAAACACATCTGCCAGGAAAGGAGCCACTATCTTCAGAGGGTAACCAGGAGCCAGTAGTTGCTTTCAGAAGCTCAGATGGATTCTTTGAACAGTGCAGATCTCTACGCAGAGTTCGGCCACTGGCAAATAACAGATACATAAAAAAGGATGAAGTACTATTTCTGTGTTTGCAGATGACACCAAGTTATGTAGTGGAATACAGTCCTTACAGGATCTTACAAGCAGATCTGAATGCACTGTGTGATTGGGCATCTATTTGGCAAATGAGGTTTAATGTTGATAAATGTAAAGTTATGCACTTGGCGACGAAAAACATGCATGCGTCATACACTCTGGGGGGAGTATGGGGGAGTCAATGGTGGAGAAAGATCTGGGTGTTCCGGTAGATCATAGACTCAATAATAGCATGCAATGTCAAGCCGCAGTTTCTAAAGCAAGCAAAATACTTTCTTGTAATAAGAGGGGTCTAGACTCCAGAGATAGACATAATCCTGCCCCTGTACAAAGCATTAGTAAGACCTCATCTGGAATATGCAGTTCAGTTTTTGGCACCAGTTCACAAAAATGATGTTGTGGAACTGGAGAAAGTGCAGAGAAGGGCAACTAAACTCATAATAGGCATGGAGGAGCTCAGCTATGAGGAAAGATTAGCTGACCTGAATTTGTTCTCTCTGGAAAAGAGGCAACATGAACACCATGTATAAATACATAAGTGAGCTTGGTGCCAAATTATTCACGTTAAGGTCATTGCAAAGGACAAGGGGGCACTCTTTGCGTCTGGAGGAAAAGAGGTTTAACCTTTGCATATGGAAAGGATTCTTCACAGTTAGAGCTGTGAAAATGTGGAATAGACTCCCCCAGAAGCTTGTTCTAGCTAGCTCAGTTAATTATTTAAAAAAAAAAAAAAAACATCTGGCTGTATTCCAAAATGCACAGAATATTACTGGATATTGAGTTATTACAGTTATATTAAGCATCAGAGATTGCCTTATGGGGTCAGGAAGGATTTTTTTCCCCCTGTTGGAGCAAATTGAACCATGCTTTATAGGGGTTCTTTTACTTCCTCTGGATCAACAGGGGGTAACTGTTGGCATAGTGTTCTGTTTAGGCTTTTCTTCTCTTTTTTTTTTTCTTCTCCATATCGGTATAGGTTGAACTCGATGGACTTGTGTCTTTTTTTTCAACCTGACTAACTATGTAACTACTATGTAATCTAAAGCTGTTATCAATTCATACTAGAGAGCTGGAAAAATGCAGGCTGTGAACCATAGCACCAGCTTGTGGCTGAAATCACTGGAGTGAATGATAGATTTTCCCTTACATCTTAGTGCCTGATATCAGTTGCATTCATTTATATCCTTTTTTTGGGGAGCTTTTGCCAAACAATAATTGATAAAGATATTCTGGTAATGTGACTCGCTGAGAAGTTTTGTAACTCATGTGAACGTCACGGAGCAAGGGACTGTTTGATGGCATGGCATCACCAATAGCTAGACCAATAGAGTGATTCGTGTCTCTTTGTTCCCTCACTATTTGAGTATCCTTAAAGTGGATCGTTCATTAAAATACACACTTCACATAAAGCAAACGGCCACACATCAGCACTACCATATCACATTAATTTTTTACATAAAGAATTTTCTTTTTTATGTGACCTAGAATCTAAGTAAGGTCTACACGTTCTCTGTCTACCACTATTCTGCTTAATGCCATTAAAGACTGAAAAAAGTCAGTTTTTAATCAGACCATCCATGGCTACTAGACAAGGTCAGCAAGGCACAACTTTTAAGTTTCCTCACCCCTGTATTTTGCTGCACTTTGAATAGGAATAAATGATAATGCATGAAAAACACATGTATGTAGCTTTATGGATGCTATCTTGTAGATGTATATTTGTAAATTGCATGTAGATACAAGGTTTTTAGGATAATAATACCAAAAACTTTGATTTGCAGACATGTTTGATAGAGGTCAGTGTGGAAAGATTGATCTGTTTGGATTTTCGGCTCTGTGGACATTCCTTCAACAGTGGAAAAGCTTGTTCCAGCAGTATGACCGAGATAGGTCTGGCTGTATTAGCCATGCAGAACTACACCAAGGTAAATACTACTAATAAAATAGTATAACGGGACAAAATGTGTGATAGAAAAATCTCTCCTTAACCAGTCTTTTATATTAGGTGTGCTACATATGTCCACAAAATGTCATCAAAGTAATTTGCTTTTTGCTAACATGCTTTTTGTTTTGTTTTGTTTTTGCTTGGGGTCCTCCCCAAAATCTATACCATACCCTGTCTAGGATAAGAGTCTGGTATGGATTTTGGAGGAGGCACATGTTGTTTATATACACGTTTACATGTATGTTTTTTGAGGGAAGCCCCAGGATTTTGCATTATTTTAAAAGGTCAGTGTGACTGAAAAAAGTTTGAGAAACGCTGGTCTAAACAAGTACCAATTCCAGTTATTATGTGATGCACAAGCCTCATAAAGTAAACAAAAAATGTCCTTGATCTTTACGGAAAAATCCTCCTTCATTTGTGTCTCGCATGCTTCCCCTCCTAGACACTGCAGCTCACAGTGGGAGGGTTTCAGCAACAAAGGCAGTACTGTCAATTCATAAAGCAGTGGGCAGGGCTAGGCCAAATGCTGATTTACAAGCTATAGCCTTGTGAATTGGCAGTTCCATTGCTGATAGCCATACCCCCTGCAACATTTTTAAAGGAGAACTATGAGGTGAGTGCTTTTCACTCACCTCATAGTTCTAGTCGACCTGTGACAATGAGACTGTCACAGGTTGGCTCAGTAGATCGGGAGGTGAGCGAACACATACCGGCGTTCGCTCATCTTTCGATCCTGTCACGGCTCTCTGCCGTGACGGGAGGGACTGGATTCCCCCCCTCCCCGCTCCGATCCTCCAGCGCTGACTGACGGAACGGACGGGGTAGGGTGCGGGTACAGCTGGCTCTGCCTCTAGATAGGCAGAGCCAGCTGTCAGTCACGCAGCTGGGCGGATCCCGGCACAACTGTCGGGATCCGCTTCAGCTGCAGCGTCTCAGTATACTGCGAGCAGCTGCTTGCGGTATACTGCGGCGTCTCGGTATACCGCGAGCTACAGCTCGCGGTATACTGAGCCTAGGGTGACGGGAGGACGCTGGTTCGTGTCCTCCCATTACCCTAAGGAGAACTATGGGGAAAAGCCTTAACCCCCTAGTTCTCCTTTAATGCAAACAGGGCCAGCCTACATAAGTGTGGCATCTCTGAATTCAGGTGTTGTGCAGCATTGTTCCCACAATATTACAGGAAGCTGCATTAGGTGGACATTGCTGACAGGCTCACAGGTATTTGTAGGACTTTGCAGGAGGCTTAGGAGAAAATTGTGCTGACACTTATTGTGTAGGACCATGCCTACACAATGTGTGTCAGCATGGCTGCTTGTAGTCTCCATCATGTGCATGTGCAGAGTGACAATCCATAACACAATTCTATCACCCATAACAAGTGCCTGAACGAGGACCTCTATGGCAGGATAACCAGGTATTATTTTAACCACTTCAAGTCCTCGGTGTTAAACCCCCTTCCCATCCAGGCCATTTTTCAGTATTCAGCGCTGCGGTACTTTGAC